ACTTGAACAACAATTTTTTGAAACACCTACAAGTTTTCGGACCTTTCACCTTGCGGTTCTTCACCATCCTTCCCATCGTGGTAACTGAGTTAACTGAATACAATTGTCAGAGTGTGTGTTTTTTAAGACTTGGCGGACTCTTTTTTGCAGATCCATAGAGACTATTGTTTGCTTGTGCTTTCTTTTTGTCAGGGCGTGCCCAACCCAGCCCGCTGCCCCTCTCTTGTACCAAACGATACCACCTGGAGTCTCAAAATACCGTAGAAAATGGGACATGACCCTGTCAAAACAGCTCTACACCCATTTTGCAAGGTATTTTAGAGACTTGAGGTAGTTCCAAAATTCCAAGCAAAAGCTAGACCAAGCTCTTGTAATATCCCAAGAGATGCGAAGAAAACAACTAAATGCCTCGCAAGGCTCCAGCGCGGCGCCTGCCAGCATTTGAACTTCTGCACTTCTTCCGTAATGAGCTTGTTGGCCTTTCCGGGAACGTGATCCGGGACGACGATTCCTTCCGAGTCGACTTCCTTCGGATTCTTTCGGAGTCCTAATGGTCATTCGGTGATCCGAAAAAAAGAGAAAGGACGTTCATAGTCGATGGTGGGGAAAAACAACATGTCAATATACGTCGATCAACAAATGCAACAAATCCAGAACGTATACCTGTATGGGTCTGGTTTCTTAATCCCGACTCGGGTGAGCTTTCCATGATCAGCCGCTCGTCGACTCGTCCATATACCTTAGGAACATCGAGGAACCCCCACCCAGCTCGGTGTCGTACGGCCGGTCTGTGCCCAGACCGGTTGGTGAAACCATCCCCTTAATTCGTGGCGGGCAGTTGGTTTGAATACTCTGTTTACCTAGAACCCATTTGACCTCTGTTTTGACAAGAAAAGACAATGTTTTGGCTCCAAAACAGGGGTCAATAGTAATGATTCTTTCATCATATGCATACTACTTGCATTTGGATCATGCGTGCCCATGAAGCCGGTCCAGCCTTGACCACCTCGTTTTGCCGCTTCTTGGCATTGGCATCGACCACCTGAGCCAAGCGCAGCGAAACCGCCCAGTCGTGCGGTTTCGTGCCATGGGTCGTGTCGCCCGCCAGAGTCGTGGGACCGTGTGTGAGCTTGATCTGGCGAGCTCCCGAACCCAAACATGTGTTTCGCCCTCATTTCTGGACCTTCCAAGCCCGGTGGTTTGGATGGACACCCCGAATCACCTCTAAGTGACTAGATTTATTTACACCTCAAACAAAAGGTTGCGTATTTTTGGCCATGAATCTTGGGAAAGTCTCCCTTGCAAACCCACCAAATACATTATCCGAGCTGTAGCCAGGTGACCTCCACCGGAAGGTACTGGAGAGCCATGACAAGGACCACCATGGGAACCACCCCATATAGAACGTGAAGCCCACCAAATGAACTCTGATAGACAAATGAGTTTCCTCCTGGAGGTATAGGGTCAACATCCTTAAGTAAAACAATGGTTCCTTGCAAACCATAAAACAAGGGTTCTTCGAATCCTAGGGTTGTGTTTTCAGGTTGAAGGATCACAAACGTGAGTCTGCTGCACTCGAAGAATCTGTTCGTCCCGGTGCTTCCCCGGTGCTTATCCCGAGCCCAAAACCGAGTCCACTCGTGGAAAAATCCCGATGCGACTCGCCATGCGGTGTTTTCTCCGTTTTTCACACGCGGCATGGCCTTCTTCAGATCATCCACTGAGTAACTGCTCACGCGATCCACCTGCACTGCATCAGGTGAGGATTCCATGCAGTATACAATACAGTATACACCGTATACAAATAGAATTCAAGATCCTCTGAGACTACCTCTGATCTATAAATCGACCCAGCAAGCGATCATTGAACTGCGCATCAACACTGTTTGAGTCACTGAGGAATCAACAGGACGAGGACACACAAGCGGAACGGTTTCGTATCTTCTACAGCGTCACCTGGTAGAGGCTGACCCATATATATACAGTGCCAGCATGGTTGAAAGGAGCACGCATTCATACGGTGGCCTTTTTTGATTCAAGCCACGCCACCAGCTCAGTGACAGCAAGCGTGCGTGTACAATGAACGGTTCATTGCCTCTTTTAGAAGCGAAGTGACACATGCGTCCACACCCGGGCTTCGCCCGGTCGCAAGATCGCAGAGACCATTGCGCGAAGAGCACCCTGACGTAGAATCCAAAGTGCTGCGCCCCTGCATGGCTTATTCACCAAGGTTGTGCAATTGGCCGCGTTCACTCGGAAGCACGTTGGGCCACTAGCCAAGCAAGGTCCGCCCCCGTCAGGCCTTGCGCCTTCTTTATCAGCCGGCTACGCTTCTTGGCCTACAGGAAAGCTTTTCGTCACTACGTGTCAGCAACCCTTTGGCCCAAAAAACAGTGGAAAACGGCTCCAAGGTTTGACCGGGCTTGATACCCAAGGCCTCTTTGCGCACTGTGCAATGTGGATTGACCTTCCAATGCTTCCTAGAAACGATGCACCCAGTCGGACACTGTGGCGCATATGCTACAGACGTCTCATCAAAGTTTAACCAGAGCAGCTTCCGATCTTTCTATTTGTCGGCAATGTACGACAAACTTTGCCAGAAGGTCCAAGCCTGAGGCCCAAGATCGCGTGAGGTGAATGGTTGCTCAAAATGTGATTTTTGCGTCTGCGTACCGGTGCCAAAAGTGAATCCGCTTTCCGGCCTTACTTTTAGCACCAACGCATTAATGGGGCCTTTTTTGAAGGCCGCCAGATGGACTCGTTTTTCAGACCAAAAAATTGCCCATCCCGGCCTTTTAACGTAGATCGGCAGGATCCACGCAGTCTCTAACACGGAGACGTCCGCGGCGCACAGACCATCGCTTCCGCCAGCGCATCACCCACTTTTGGATGCCTCGCCTTGTCAATGGCTCGCCTGGAGCTGCGTGAGCCTGCCTCAATCTAAATTACTCATAGACTTGCAAGGCTGCTGGAGCTGCGCCGTGCACAAGATTCTGTGTCTTCAGCCATGTGAAGACCCAGTGCTTTCTGCGCGAAGCGACAAGCCAGGGTCCATTGTACATTGCCTTCATCATGCATGCGCAGTAAGTCTCCCAGGTTGGCTTCACAAACAGACGTTGAATGCAACTTTCGGTGGGATAATCTATACCATATCCAGCCGCACAGCCCTCTACCCGGGATTGGCTAAAGACACACGATCAGAACGCATGCGGCAACCTAGCATGAGAGAAAGGCTCTTTGGCATAAGGCTTCCTTGCATATACCTAATCCTGTCCGTAGCGCAAATTTTTGTGCAGCATCACACATTCAAATGTTTCCAGTATAGGCGCCGCTACCAACATTCCACTTTACAGTGGTATTTCTGGGTGAATTGACGTCAATGGGGGGGTGGAAGAAGATTGGCACATAGCTATAGCGTTGCCTTGACGCACACACACACACAACCGGGGCCCGAGAGTCTGAAGCCTCAAAAGGCCTGCGAACGCGGACTCGTTTTCTAGGCCGCCGACGCACCCGATTGTAGCATAACATATGCTTGTTCTTCCGAAACAATATAGAACACCAATCACAGACCCCATGGAATCCCATTCCCGGTTTCAATTGCTCCTTCTTCTGTTCGGGTTGCTGGAAAAGGGAAAAGAGACTGGCTTTAATTGTCATAAGAATCATGTGGTGTGACCTGGTGCGAATTGACAGCCGCCTGCAATATGTTTCCTTTCTTCCTTCTCTTCCGTACACTTGCGGAAGCCTCCGGCTACTTATAATTTTCACACGGAGACTCAGCCAATTACAAATTCTCAAGCCCACCTCCAGTCACAAGTTTTGAAGCTGTCTCTTTCTCAAGACGTCCCCCGCACCCCCCCGTGAAAGCAATGTTGAAGGCGTGTTTTGGGGGTGACCGTTTTGTTTCAGAACATCTGTAACAGTAACATTGATGACAAGGGGGTATGGGGGAGTTGTACTGGAGATGTAAAACAGGAACCATGTCGCTTACTAACATTGATTACAAGGGGGCATGGGGGATTTGTAGTGAAGAAGTGTAACAGGAAACATCCATGTGGCTTGTTTTGGGAAAAGACTGTTTTGAGAGTAGCCTACTGAATCACCAGGTCTGGGGCGTCAACTCTTTCTCAGGAGGGTGGCTCGAAAGTGGTCACTGCATTCTGCGTTTCCGAGATGGGAGGAAAGCCCTGCCCCGCAAATTTCGTCGCATTGCGTCCTTGCGCAACCCACATGGAGAAACAGGCGACGCAGGGCTTGATGTCTTTCATGGTCGTGATACGAGCTCGAAGCACGTAGATCTTCATGCGCACGAAGCATGCTGGGTTCTGTTTCAGACAATTTCATGCCGCCATACAGCGCCGCCGAGCAGCGACAGCGCCTGAGGCATGAAGCGTCTATGATTCTCATAAGGAGGGAAACCGCAGGGTGTGAGCGGGAAAGGGTGCACCAAGATTGGTTTAATTTATCGCTCAGGAAATTAGTACATCTACTAAACACCTTTCACAAATTTCTGCGAAGGTCGCCCAGACTTTGCAACAATTGTGTTCTTAAAAAACAACAAGCCCAGGAATGGCCCCACGCCGGCCATGAAGTTAGCAGAACCGGCTTTAGCAGCCGAGCGGCCTCGCCTCCACGAGTTCACTCACACATCAGCGCTGACGAGCAGCGCCGCCGCCATCGCCCAACAGGCGACATAGCGGCTCGTGTGATTTTGCTGTTGATTCAAAGTCGGATAACTCGCGTAAGAGGAGGATCTGGCGTGCGTCCTCTCATGGTGGGGCACAATTGTCTCAATGTCTTAAAAAGGTAAGGGTGTAGGCCAATTCCTAATGGTAGGGAGCAGACGTCGCCAAAATAGGCCCAAGCCTTCCAAACACAAGTCACAATGTGAGAGATGAAATAGGCCCAAGCATAGGACCAAGCGTTCGGGAACAATTCCTAATGGTAGGGCAGAAATAGGCCCAAGAAGTCTTTGAATTTTAAAGAGAAAAGTTAAAAGATAACTAATTTCAGAGAATCTTTGGGCCTATTTCATCACTGACATTGCGATTTGCCATCGGAAGGCTTGCGCCTATTTTCATTCCTGCCATTGTGATTTGCATTCGGAAGGCATGGGCCTATTTTTCAATGTCCTGCGCCGATTTCATCCCTGCCATTGTGATTAGCGCTCGGAAGGCTTCCGAAATGCTGCGGCGAAAAGGCGTGACTGCGACAGGGCACCAATTTCAAGGTCACGAAAACTATTAATTTCTAGCTTCCAAAGCATGTCCCCTCGCAGTATATATACCATGCAGGACCTTCCAACAGGTCACCACCTGCGACTTTTAAGTCTACAAAAGCCTCCAGAAGAGACCTCTTGGAAGGTGCTGGTATATTTATTTATATTTATTTATCCCTCCCATCACCCCCCATCCAAACATTCGCCGCATCCACCATCGTCCTCTCCGATCGAGGGATCAAAATGGATCAAGGGAAAAGTACCAGGATCATCCAATCCGTGTCCTCGCTGGACTACCCTACACTACTATCTGAGATCTCCAGACTGGACACCCAAACAGGATGGCCCGGAGTCCAGCCAAAGAATTCGGGTCAAAAACAAACAGCCCTCCAGTTCGGTTCCGACCAAATGGGACATGCCATGCCAGGACTACCAAAAACCGGCCACCTCCTCGTTTCATCTCTCTCCGCGGCGGCGAACTCGAGGCCTCGGCGCAATCGGCGGCGACGTTGAGGGGCACCGAGATGTCCACGAGCCTCGGCAACTTGGCGCCGCGAGGCGGCGAGGCGATGGCGATGGGCCACGGAATGTTGTTGACCTGAAAAGCACCAGGTGTCAATTATTGACCTGAACTGATGGAAGAAGACACTACCAGAATGAATGAATGGCCTTTACATCTCTCAACATGGGGGGTTTTATTCATCAACAGTCCAATTACACTACACCACCATCTGTCTGGGTGTCCTCTAATCCCTCACACCTATTAAAAAACACGGCCCCCCCCCTCCCCCCTATTAAGAAAACCTCGGGTGCTTCTTCTTTAATAGGGGGTCCCTGAAATCAGGGTTGTCCAAAATAGGGTCACCCGGGAAGAGCTTCAAAACCAAAAAGTAACCCATGAACTTTTTATATAAAATCCTTAAAGGGTCTTCCTTTTCCCCTACAAAATAGTGATTCTTCATTAGACTACTCGTCTGACTTCCGCCCAATCCTCCCCCCCCGCACGGCACAATACGACAGACCTGGGCGCAGATTGCGCACGGCCCAGCTGCTTTTCACCACTCGGATTGGGCCTCCCGACATGTGGTTTCTCTCCAGGTTTTGGAGATCCTTCCCGTAGATGATGGGCACCTGGCGAGGACAAAGCACCCGGGAGGTCGTTCCGTCTGTCTACGATCCGGACCGCTTCATCCATGTCGCTCCGGACCTGAACGTAGACAGGAGCCATATAGGACCCCGCAAAAACAAACACATGGGGGCAGTTCATGAACCATGGTGCAGTTCATCTTGTCGCCCAGGTGGGGAGGTCAACGAAACACAGGGGGCCTCGTTGGCATGGCTTTGAAGCGGTTCTGGAACGAAAGCTTCCAAGGCGGTCTGACCTCGCCCTTTACGGGTCCGAAGCTCTCGTGGGGTCCGAAGGCATCTTCGCAGGCGTCTTGAAACAGCCTACACACTTACTGGACAAAACTAGCAGATGTGATGTATACCTACTATAAAGAAAAAGGGTCTTGATGTCTGCCAAACGTCTGCAATGTACTATTCTTGCAATGTCTGCCAAAAGCTTTTGATGCTCATCTCACGCTCTTCCATGTATACTCGCGTTTCCACAGTGCACTTCCACTGACAACCATGGAAAGTGGCCCGCTCCCTGTCAGTGAGTTGGAGTTTTTATTATTTTTCAACGTGATTGAGTGTAAGCTAGACTGAAACAAGGCGCCGGAGACTGAAATAGCTTTTGCCCATGCTAACGCTCCTTGGCGGCACTTTGACTTGTTGGCGTCACGTCTGGCATGAAGGATTTCAAGCTAAACAACCGCAAACTTGCATGAAGGAACTTTAATAAAATAGTTAACATAACATATATGAATATCTATAGATTCCCCAACAAAGAATTCACCCATAAGGGCAAACAAACATCACCCTATAAGCCAAACCCAGCGCGATAAAATATACAAAATGACAGCTTGATAGCATGATCTCTAAGCTTCGCCACCTCAGTAACCCACCGCACACATTCACTTCCCCGAAGAAGAGTTCAAAACTCCGGGATGAGAGGCATGAAGATGCATGAAGAGTATCCTTATTCCAAGACCCCCATCACATCCACTAACGAAGCATCACAGCCGGGCCCCTCCCTGGGACCCAATGGGGTGTAGGACCGAACCTCCCTCCCTCACGATCAGATCCAACCGACCCAAGAACACCTCGAAGAAACGGGTGCCACGGTGCCTTGCTTCCGGTGGCGGTGAACGTGACGTCGCTGCGGCGCATGACGTCGAACATCTCATCCTGAGGCTGTCGGGGGCGCGCAGAGGACGTGGTAATCGGTCGCGCAGGGGGTCGCTTGGAGACGGGAAGGGGAGACGTCGAACAGGCTGAAACAGGGACCATTCGTTTCTGGGATGTCCTGCGTTCTTGTGGGCTCCAGGCCCCAGTCAGTTCAACCAATTGTTGTCTGGGGAAGCACGCATGCAAAGGCATTGTCAGGAGGCACCTGGAAGGGGGTTGGTGAGGAAACATGGAAGCGCCTTAAGCAAAGGGAGCTTGGGAATGTGCGGCTTCTCTACCGAAGTGATTCCGTGCTGACTGCTGCAACTCTGCAGCACTTTCAGGCACATATAGGTTTTTAAAATCAGAAGTACTGAAACACCTGTGATGCGCAAGACTGTCTTTTTCTGTGGACCTACTTCTTATGCCCCCTATGATCCAAACATCTCCACCTTGGATGCTCTCCGTCTGAGACCTTGCGCAGTGACAGACCATGTCATGCAAACCATCCTAAGATCCCCACCCGACCGAAAAAAAGTCGCTCAAGAGAGGAGACCTGTTGGAGGGTGCTGGTAGAAAAGGTTTATATACGGTTTCAGAGCAGGTGGCACAACCCCCCAAGAGTTGGTTTATATGGGCCCCTATCTAAAAGACATCTTGGGGGTTGTGCCATCTATTCTGAAACCACTGTAATTTTTTGTGGCTCAGCAAATATCATGTTGAGGGTCAGGTCCGGAATCCGGACAGTCAAGCACGACCGTCTGTGCGACCGTCTGAACAGTGTTGCCACCGTAGCCTCAGAAACATCCACGGACTCCGTGTCATTTCGCCAGACCATGGAAAGAAAGGTTGACCTGGCTTAGTAAAAACTTTAAAACAAACAAAAAAACAACATTGGTTCTTCCGGAAAAATAACAATATAATTAAACACATGGTTGGAAACCCAGGATTCAAGTCCGTCCGGTCCGTAAATGAGGAATGGTCATTACGCGTCAAGATCTTCTCAAAACACCAAACTTGGTGGATTCAACCCATTTCAATTCCCGTTCCGTTGTTTTTGGGGTGTCACAGCAGGCATACGTTCAAAGGGTCTCACAGATTGCTTCCCTGCTGCTCTAGTGCTCTAGCACTGCAACACGTCCACTGGCAAATTCGTAAAGTGATGGTTGGTCCAGTTTGTTGCTCCATGTGTCGTGGCTCTGTGGCTGCCCTCGCATCTATGGAGCAAGTGGGGCATGCCAAAGCAGGTGCCAAAACCTTTAGCAGTGGAGCATCGAGCGTCTCCATGTCCGATCGATCCCGCGCCAAGTAAGCTATACGAGTGGTGGGCATTCCGGGGGCATGTACCCGCCACACCAGACGGGTCGGAGCCGGGTCCTGGTCTCCCGCATCAGGCCATGTAGTACCCGCCCCGTTGACCGACACAAGCACCCCGACTGATCCAGTTTGAATCCTTTTCAATGTGAGTCACACCAGTATGATTGTGATAGGTTTCACTAGGTAGTATGCGAGTCCCAAACAGGTCGTGTCCAGGAAATAAAAGACTAGACGATGGCTGGCCCGAGAGCGAGACATGTAATTGTCCAGCACTGTCGAAAAGATGTATAGAAAGAGAGAAAGAGGGTGGATGTGAAGGAGTGACAGTGTGATGTGCAGGTGCGATATAGATCTGTAGATGTATGGAGGTGGAGAGGTAGATCTGTGGATGTGAGCGTGCGAAGATGTAAGTGCACAGAGACGAGAGAAAAGATATGTAGAAAGAAAGAAAGACAGGACAGATGTGAAGGAGCGACATGTGATATAGACGTGCAGATGTGTGGGTGTAGTGAGGTGGAGAGGTAGATCTGCGGATGTGAGCGTGTGAAGATGTAAATGTAGAGAGGTGAGGGTGTGTAGACGTAGATGCGTCGATGCAACGGCACTGCAACGTCAACCTTAGTTGCGCAAGTACAACGCTGAAGAGGTTCAAATAGAACTGAAGAACGTACATGTCACACTGAAGTTTCCACGGGCAGGGCGACCTGAGAGTAAACGACGTCACGATCATGACAAGCGACTCGTGTATTCCGAGCGAACATCGTGTGTCATGAAGGTGAAGTACACACATACTAACGTCACGATGACTCTTTTGTGGCAGCCACTTATGAGTAGGCAAAGTAGCTAAAAGACTCAGCTGCAGGGGCGCCAGAGCAGCCGCGAGAGATGACTCATCCGCGTACTGAAGTTGTACTACAAAGTCGCCAGTTCTCAGCTTCCAGCTCCACCACGTACTAAGGTTGTACTACAAAGTCGCCAGTTCTCATCTTCCAGCTCCCCAGATACTCCGCGTACTAAAGTTGTACTACAAAGTCGCCGGTTCTCATCTTCCAGCTCCCCAGATACTCCGCGTACTAAAGTTGTACTACAAAGTCGCCAGTTCTCAGCTTCCAGCTCCACAGATTGCTCCGCGTACTACAGTTGCACTACAAAGTCGCCAGTTCTCATCTTCCAGCTCCCCTGATACGCCGCGTACTAAAGTTGTACTACAAAGTCGCCAGTTCTCATCTTCCAGCTCCCCAGATACTCCGCGTACTCAAGTTGTACTACAAAGTCGCCAGTTCTCATCTTCCGGTCCAGCTCCCCAGATACTCTGCGCACTAAAGTTGTACTACAAAGTCGCCAGTTCTCAGCTTCCAGCTCCACAGATTGCTCCGCGTACTAAAGTTGTACTACAAAGTCGCCAGTTCTCATCTTCCAGCTCCCCAGATACTCCGCGTATTCAAGTTGTACTACAAAGTCGCCAGTTCTCAGCTTCCAGCTCCACAGATTGCTCCACGCACTAAAGTTGTACTACAAAGTCGACACGCACGATCTCCGCAGAGGGTTGCGCCGGACCAGGACAAATCGCACTCTCGCCATCTCTCGCCTGCATTTCGCGACAGAGGGTTGCTCCGGACCGGGACAAATCGCACTCTCCCTGCATTTCGCGCCCTCGACACGCACGATCTCCGCAGAGAGTTGCGCCGGACAGAACCAAATCGCACTCTCACCTGCATTTCGCGCATCCGACACGCACGATCTCCGCAGAGGGTTGCCTCGCGACCGGGACAAATCGCACTCTCGCCTGCATTTCGCGCATCCGACACGCACGATCTCCGCAGAGGGTTGCGTTTCGTGGCTGTCCGGCGGCACTTAAGAGAGAAAGTTAAGAAGAGCCACGCTGGCATTGGCGCCTCCACGGTTCTTCACCTGACATGAACAGCGGCGGTGAGACATCTCCCCACCCGGGTCGCTCGGTGGCCGAGCGACCGGGGGGTCTTACTCTGGGAACCACACGAGGCTTTCACCCGCCACCGAGTGACCTGAGGATCCGATTTCAAAAGACGGAAACACGTGAAGGGGAAAAACGCCTGTGGCTCACTATAAACGCCCGTAGCTTGTGAATAAACGCCCGTGAAAAATCAGAAACTCAGAACACTAGAGAAACATCCGCAGATATGCAGTGACTCCAAAAGATGTTTCTCACGCCGCAAATCAAAAAAGAACAAAAGCACTCTCAGGAAGTTTCAAAAATGAATTGATTATATAATGAACTTCTGAACTAGTTGGAACCATACAATCCACATCAAACTATTGTAGAAGCATGGAATCCCCCACAGCTGGTCGTTCGGGCACTGTACAGCTCAACAGCATCTCCCTTTTCTTTCTGGAGATGACTTCGGGCCCCGAACATGGCCAACAACTCAGCTACCAGTTGGTAGAAGAACATGACAATAGAATTGCATCCCTCGGAGCTGAATACCTGCAACTGAAAAATATCAATACCATCCAATGCCTAGAACCGGAGTGACCTCTAGTTTGGACCACCAACCCCAAACAAAAATATGATCCAACTTACTTCGCACACAGGGGTCATGTCTGGTTTCCCAACTGATGCAGGTCTCCCTCCCGGTCTCCCTGTGTCCACACGTTCCCTCCGTCGTCTGTCGTCTCACCGTTCATGTCTTTTTCACGCCGGGCGGCCATGTCGTCGTCCAGGACTTCTTGTGCCTTCTCCACCGAACGGTTCACCAACGTCACCTCGAGGTCGACCCGAGAGCGGGGATGGTTCGGAGGTCCATCCGGGATGGAAGCGGAAGCGGAGCCGCCGGAAGCGCCGATTGGACGCCGATCTGGGTGTTTTTTGACAGACCAAGGACGCTACGAACGGAACAAGAATGCAGCTCCTGGCATCGCTACGAACGGAACACGGGCATCGCTACTAGTAGCAAGGACGCTACTGTTCTTATTTGTTTGGGTTGGGAGGCTCGGTCTGTGTTGGTCCCCCAAAGACGCAATTACTGGATATACGTGGATGGTTTCGTTTCTCCATTTGGCATGGCCAAGCCAAGCCAGCCAAAAGGTAGTTCCGCATTGACGTCCACTACCTGACCAGCTGGATCCAGCCGGTGTGATAGGGATCAACAACTCTTCCACACTTCCACAGGGTCAAATTAAATTGTCCGGGATTGTGCCTAATGGATAATCATACACCGTGGAGTCTAATACAGTAAACCTGTTGGGACAGGGGATTCTGGACTGGATAGGGTCGTCCTCTTCTATAGCACTCTCCTGCTGTCCAATCTTCTTCCTTGGGTTGCCTTGGAATCCGCGCGTTTCACCAGTCTCTGAAATAGTCCAGGCTGAGAGAATAGGGTTTGCGGCAAACATATTTGAACATTTTTGAAAAACAACACGGGATATAACTGGATGGTACGGTCGTTTGATCTTTTTCATGCCCTGCTCTTGGTTGTGTTTTTGATTCCAAAACGGTTGCAATAAGGATGGTAAGGTCATTGAAAGGATGGTATATTGAACTTCACAATTTCCACGTTGGCCTTGAATCGAAAGATAACGCAGCCCTCCCCCCAAAAAATATGAGGATTGTTAACTTCGGACTGCTCTCCTCACAGTCAACCTGAGCTGCACCTTAATGTCTGGGTGCTTGCTGAAGAGCGCCAAAAGCAGCAGCCTCGCACCAGTGTCAGCGATTTCGCGCGGATCTTCCTTACATCTGACATATTATCCAGGTTCTGGGACGACACCCAGGAACCGGGAAACACAAAAATCCACCCGAAAATCGCCCAAACCACCGACGTTTCATAACCCCCACGCCAGGTCGCTGCTGGCGCATGTTCCGAGACGTTCCAACCGTCCTCCGGCTCCTGGGGATCCTTTTAATAATACAATAGGATATATATTTTAGGATTTTGTAAAACCGGATGTGTGTTCCA